CCTCCATCATCAACAGCGTCCTACTTAAACGACTCTGGCGCTGTCTCTACAGCAACGGCTCCGGCAATAGTTTTGGTCTCTCCGACGCCAGTTCGACTCCTAGTCTCCGACTCCAGATCCTACCTCAACGTTTCTGGCAGCGAGGTCACACTACTACTCCATGACGCTCCTGCCCCCGGGTTGGGGGGCATGGCTCTCACCCGCGTTTCTGCGTTTCTGCTATGGCGCAGCAACGCGTTTTTTTGTTTTGGGAGTATTTTTTTTGTTTTTCTCTCTCTCTCTCTCTCTCCCTCTCTCTCTCTCTCTCTTTCTCTTGTTTCGTCTCATCCCATTCCTTCTTTTCTTTCTTTCTCTCCTCACCCTTCCCCCCCATTCCTCCGCATCGCCATCAAGGGTCTGCTTCCTCCTTCTCGTCCTTCTCTTCCTTTTCCTTCGTTTCCTCCTCGTCCTCTTCTTCTTTTGTCTCCTCTTCCTCCTCTTCCTCCTCTCCCTTGTCTCCTCCTTCGCCCCTCCTTTCGCATCCTGATTTTAATGGAGTGCTGGAGGAGTCTGAGGAGCAGGAGGAGGGAGAGGTTGATGAGTCACTTTCCCATCCTCCTCATCCTCCCCTCTGCTCATCCTCCTCATCCTCCAATGTCCCATCCTCCCCTCCCTGCACTCCATCTGTGTAGGATTTGCACATGCGTTCTATCTGTGAGGGCGTTCCACACATACATTCCCTTTGCGGAGCAATTACGCATCGATGCCCTATGTGGGCGGTGGGAAGCCACACAACAACAGGAACTAACGACAACACCACAGCAAAGCAAGCCAACCACAGACCCATGATTAGAAAGCCCCCCGCCACACCAACGGAAAGCAACCAAACTTACTCACTCTACCGTTCCACAACTCCACCGTCCCCTATCTCCTCATTCCCTTCCCTTTACCCCTGCCCTCTCACCTTTCACTTCTCCTCCTCCTCCTCCTTACCCTTTCCTTCACGTCTCACTCCTCCTCCTCATGGGAGGGGGGGAGGAGGAGGAGGAGGAGGAGGAGGGATGGCGAGGAGGAAGAGAAAGAGTATGAGGATGATGATGAGGATGAGGATTGAGGATGAGGATGATGATTATGAGGAGGAGGAGGAGGAGGAGGAGGAGGAGGAGGAGGAGGAGACAGAGGAGGAGGAGGAGGAGGAGGAGGAGGAGGAGGCGAGGCGGAGGCGGAGGAGGAGGAGGAGGAGGAGGAGGAGGCGGAGGAGGAGGAGGAGGATCAGGAGGAGGAGGCGGAGGAGGAGGAGGCGGAGGAGGAGGAGGAGGAGGAGGAGTGAAAGGTGGGGGGGCGGGAAGGAAGGGGAGTGGAACGAGGAGATAGGGGACGGTGGAGCAGTGGAACGGTGGATTGAGTAATCATATGAATAATAATACGAATGGTAATACTAATAATACTACTAATAATAATGATACTAATGCGAATAATAATAATGCTAATGCTAATGCTAATGCTAATGCTAATGCGAATGCTAATACTAATGCTAATACTAATACTAATACTACTACTGCTACTAATACGAATACTACTACTACTAGTACTACTACTACTACTACTACTACTACTACTACTACTACTACTACTACTACTACTACTAATACTAACACTAATACTAATGCTAATACCAATGCTAATACTACTAGTAATACTAATACTAATACTAATACGAATACGAATGCGAATTCTCATACTAATACTAATACTAATACTGTTACTAATACTAATACTAATACTAATGCTACTGCTAATGCTAATGCTAATACTAATACTAATACCACTAATACCCTAATACTAAGTATACTAATACTAATGCTAATACTACTAAGCTAATACTAATACTAATACTAATACTAATACTAATACTAATACTAATCCTAATACTACTATACTAATACTACTACTACTACTAGTCCTAATACTAATACTAATACTAATACTAATACTAATATTCATACCAATACTAAGACTAAGACTAAGACTAAGACTAATACTAATACTAATACTAATACTAATACTAAGACTAATACTAATACTAATACTAATACTAATACTAATACTAATACTAATACTAATACTAATACTAATACTAATACTAATACTGATACTGATACTAATACTAATACTATACTACTAATACTAATACTAATAATACTAATACTAATACTAATACTAATACTAATACTATATACTAATACTAATACTAATACTAATACTAATACTAATACTAATACTAATACTAGTACTAATACTAATACTACTAATGCTAATACTAATACTAATACTGATATTAATACTAATACTAATACTAATACTAATACTCATACTAATACTAATACTAATACTAATACTAATACTAATACTAATACTAATACTAATACTAATACTAATACTAATATTAATCCTAATGCTAATACTAATACTACTACTACTACTATTAATAATAATGATACTAGTCCTAATACTAATACTAATACTAATACTAATATTCATACCAATACTAATACTAATACTAATACTAATACTAATACTAATACTAATACTAATATTAATACTAATACTAATACTAATACTAATACTAATACTAATACTAATACTAATACTAATACTAATGCTAATACTAATACTAATACTAATACTAATACTAATACTAATAATACTATTGATAATAATTGTTTTCAATGAGTTTTTTGGCTTTCCAATCCTGGTGATTTGTTTTTTTGGTTGATTTGATGTTGCTGTTATTATTGGGAAGGCCTAGCGGCCAGTGCCGCCGACCCTGAATGGGGACGGCGACGACGACGGCGGCGGCTGCGGCGGCAGCGGCGACGACGACGACGACGCTGACGCTCTGGAGCCTTCTTGGGGCTCTCTTGAGAGCCTCTTGGGCTCTATTGAGGCTTCGGCTGGGGCCGCGGGCAGGGCCAGGGCCAGGGCTGGGGCCGTGGCCGAGGCCCAGGCTGGGGCCACGGCCTGGGCTGGGGCAAGGGGCCGGGGACCAGGGCCGGGGCTGGGGCGCCGGGGCCCGGACCCAGGCTGCGGCCCCCATGGGCTGGGCCGTGTCCGGGTTCGGGGCCGGGGCCGGAGCGGGGGCCAGGGCCGGGGTCGGAGCGGGGGCCATGGGCGCGGGGGGCAAAAGTAGTTGGGTGGCGACCCCCCGGGAACCCCCCAGGACACCCCTGGGACCCCCCTGGACCCCCCCGGGCCCCCCCCCCCGGCGCGGGGAAGGGATCAAGGGGAAGGAGCTTCCCTTCGATTCCACTCCGATGTTGTTCAATTTTGCTGTGGACGGCGCGTATGAGGAAGAGGGCCCAGGCAAATGGAACAGAGGAGGACGGAGACGACGACTCCAACGGAAAATCCCGACTCGAACGGAAGAGCCCTTCACACACGCCGACAGGGTCGGCGGATTTGTTGTTGCTGTTCGGCTTCCCACCGCCCATATCGGGCATCTATGGGTAATTCCTCCACAGCGGGAAGCTTGTTGTAACGCGCTCACAGAACAGCTGCATCTGTAGATCCGTCATCGAAGGAGTGCAGGGAGGAGGATGGGACCTTGGAGGGTGAGGAGGATCAGGAGCAGAGGGGAAGATGAGGAGGATGGGGAAGTGACCCCTCAACCTCTCCCTCTCCGGTTCCTCGGACTCTTCTGGCACTCCTTCGACATGATGAAGCGACGGGAGGGGCGAAAGAGGAGACAAGAGAAGAGGAGGAGTAGGAGGATGAGGAGGAGGAGCAAGAGGAGGATGCGCATGAGGTGGAGGCGGAGTGAGGCGTCCGCCCGTCGTCCGCCGTTCTCCGTAGGAGGCCGGAGGAGGGCGGACTCCTCACTCCTCACTCCTCATTCCTTCTCATCATCCTCCGCCTTCTCCGCCCTCTCCCTTTCCCTCCTCCTCCTCGCCTTCCCTCCCCCCTCCTCCTCCCTCCTCTTCCTGAGGAGGAGGAGGAGGAGGAGGAGGAGGAGGAGGAGGAGGAGGAGGAGGAGGAACGGGAGTGGAACGAGGAGAGAGGGGACGGTGGAGCAGTGGAACGGTGGAGTGAGTAAGCTTGGTTGTTCTATCTTGTTGTTGTTTGTTTACTTATCTTTCATGTTCAATGTTTTAATTTGGGGTTGCCACGCCCACATAGAGCATCGAATGGTAATTCCTCCACGACGGGAGTCTATGTGGAACGTCCTCACAGAAAAATCTGCATGATTAGATCCTCCACGGAAGGAGTGCAGGGGGAGGATGGGACCTTGAAGGATGGTGGGGGATAAGGGGCATATGGCACAGTGGGAGGATGAGGCGGATGTGGGAGTGATTCCCCAACCTCCCCCTCCTCCTGGTCCTCGGACTCCTCTGGCACTCCTTTACAGTAAGGAAGCGACGGAAGAGGCGAAGAAGGAGACAAAGGAAGAGGAGGAGGAGGAGGAGGAGGAGGAGGAGGAGGAGGAGGAGGAGACAAAGGAAGAGGAGGATAAGGCGGATACGAATGAAAATGAGGAGAAGGACGAGAAGGATGAAGCAGATCCTTGATGGCGATGCGGAGGAGTGGGGGCGGAATGAGGGAGGAGACGACGTAAGAGGAGGAGAAGGAGGAGGAGGAGAAGGCGAAAGAAAATACATCTAGAGAGGGAGAGAGAGAGAGAGAGAGAGAGAGGCAGAGAGAGAGAGAGAGATAACGAGATAGAGAAAGAGAGAGAGAGAGAGAAAACCAAACAAAGAAGACAAAAGGGAGCGGAGCGCGAAACAGGTAGATCGTGGACACGCGGGCGGGAGTTATGCCCCCCCACCCCCCCTACCCCCACCCCCCTCCCTTGCAGAATCCGACTCGACAGCTCTACAGACACGGCTGATTATCACATCAGAGTGGGATTGGAAATTTTGTGGATAGTCTCCAACGTGGACTTGCAAACGACGCCTCTGCTTGTGATGCCGAGACTGATGCAAGGTCGCGCACATGCCAGCATTAGCAAACATGACGACACAGAGTGTCAGAGCAATCATATCATTATCTCTTCATTGTGCCAGCTTTTTGTCTCCAACCTACCACCTACAGACTGCGGTTCACCACTGTAGGCTGCAGACGTAGCGCCAGACATAACCTCAGCTCCCGACTCCAAGCTCGTAGCCTCCACCTGTCAGACTCATCGCCTTCACGCCCACATCCCCGACCCAATCCTCTATGAGGAAATCCTGGAGGCCTCGCGCGGCGCGCAATAGTTGCATTATCTAATCCACTGGTCCGCCCTGTCAGATCTGGGACGACATGGGACGACGTTCGCGCGGCGAGGTTCCGACGTAAGTCTGAAGTGCATTCGACGTGAATCCGCCGTAAATCTGACGTGAATCCGACGTAGAATTGAGCCTCAAGCTGCCGCGCGAGGCCTGCAGGATTTTCTTCATAACATCCTCATCCTGCCCCCCCCCCCTCGCCATCCCTCCGCCGCGGCAGCCACGCCATCTTACCGACCCCATCCTCATTCCCGCCCTCTCGCATCCTCATCCTCATCCTCATCCCTCGCCATCCCCGTCCTCCATTCCTCGCATCCTCGCACGCTCATCCCCATCCTTACCCTTCGCCATCCCTCCGCCGCGGCAGCCACGCCGGCGCGCCGCTGGCGGGCCGCGACGCGTGGCCACGGGACGCCGTCCGCCGGCGGCCTACCCCCTTCGCTGGGCCCCTGGCGGATGGCAGCGGCGCTCTCCACCCCGCCGCGCGCTGGCGCCGCCGCCGCGGCGGGCGGCTGGCCTGCGCCGCACAGAACCATGCGGGCCACCGCCTTGGCCCGCGCGGGCAGGTGGCGCGGTGGGGGTGGCGCGTTGGCCTCTGGGGCGGCGGCTGCGGCCTGCGGCCGCGGGCGTGCGCGGTGGCGACATGCTCGCGGAGCGCGGCCGCTGGCGGCGCGGGCGCGGGGGGCGGCGGGCAGCGCGGTGTTGCGGGCAAGATTTTCCACACGGCGTCTTGGAGTTTTGGGCAAGGGATACCAACAACCCGAGACGCAGTGGATGTGGACAGACATTTGGCTTCTTTGGAGGCCAGGTTTTGATCCATCTCATTGCGTCTCGGGTTTGTGGGGAAGGGAGTCCGAACATCCGAGACGCAGTGGATATGGATATAAATCTTGCCCGCAGGTGTGGTCGCCCAGGGCGCCTGGTCCGCTGCCGTTCATGGGGCCGCCCGCGCTGGAAGGGGCCGAGGCGGAGGCCGCGGTGCCGGGGCTGCGGTTGTGGCGGGACTTCGGAGGGCTCCAGCTGTACCGTGCGATCCAGGCGTCGCGTTTTTCATGGGGCGTTCTCGCTCGGTTTCGGGCCCTCGGGCAATAACACATCGACCCAGCTCGAGACATGTCGCAGAAAGATGGGTCTGAGGATTACTGTCGTGCTTGTTCACGGTGTTGTATTTTCACGTCGTTTTTCACGGAACACGTGGTCAGAGCGTCTGGCAGGACCAGGGAGGGCACCACAGCACCGAGACTACTTTTGAAATTGCGGCTCTGGTTCTCGGACTCGAGCCCGCTCGTAGGTCTACGTGGGCGTGCGCCGCCTTGCGCATGAGGCGTCCTTGACCACAGGACTTACGAGCTTGTGAAGTGGCCAGGCAGTGCTTGTGCCAGGGGCCTCTTGCTTCGTTCCTCGGTCATTGGCTGGCTCTTCCAGGTTGTTGCTTGTTGCCCGCCTCGTGCCCGCTCGATGCGCTGGCTGGCTTTTTCGTGTGTCCGCCCTGTGCCCGCCTCGTGCCCGTCCTTGTCCGCTGGCTGGTTCTTCGAGTTTTCGCCCAGTGCCCGACCGTGCCCACCTCGTGCCCGTCCTTGTCCGCCGGTTAGCTCTTCTGGGAGCACACGTTGATTGCATCACAAAGCTTGCACCACATATCTTGCGTCACGCAGCGTGCGATACGTACACCCACATGGTGGATTCCACATATAGGACCGCATGGCTTTCACCACATAGTTTGCGCTACATAGCTTGCAGCCCGTGTATTCTTCCTTCGCGTGACACTCTACACCCATGCCGAGGCTGGACTTACCGGTCCCCTCTGCATATTTGTTCCTCGAATGTCTTATTCGTTAGTCAGTATCCTCATCGCCACACCTCATCTTTGTCAAGCTTTTTTTATGCGGGGCTGTCGCTTATATCTTACAGGCGAATGTTCAAATAACATGCGTCAAACCAAACCATTCGAGCCACACCTGCGCGCGCATGTTTCCAACGTCTGGTCGTATGTAGTGAAAAGTGCTGGATTTCTGTGCGTGAGTACTTGCTGGAATGATGTATCAACCATGTGTCTTGTCGCCACGCGGGCCACATGCGCGATTGCGCGCGCATGTCGAAATCATTGCGTAGCCTTTGGGTTCCTAAGTGTTTCAAGATCGAGGTGTTCATCAGCCCATGACGCCCAATGTTTTTCAATGACTAACCAGTCAAATGTTCTGCGTGTGCACTCTTCCTCACCATCCTCACCATCGACATCATGTCCATCGTCATCATTATCATGCTCACCACCAGCGTCATCATCATCATAACCAACGCCGTCGTCATGATCACCGCCAGTATCATCGTCCTCATCGTCGTCATCGTCATCGTCGGAGTCGCCGATGCCCTCGTCGCCATCGTCACTCGCCCGCCCGAACCGAGGATCTGCATGAAAAGGGTCCTCGCGTTTTACGCGCCAGCTGAGTTTTGCCAACAGGTTGCGGGCGCACGTAGAGATCACATCGAGTGCAAGAAGCCAATGTTTGGGGCCACGCTGGCACGCATGAAAAGCACCGCGACGCCAGATCTCAGGGTGCTGCTGCACCGGCCCTGGCCAGTCCTGGGCCCAGGATCGTGTGAGCCTGACTGGCCAAGCCAGAGGGGGCGTACACAACGATCCTTGGCTCAGGCTGGTCCTGGCCTGGATCGGTGCAGGTGCACTCAGGACTACTGCACGCCGCTGGAGGAGGCGGAGCTGGTCGCCGAGCTAGACCGCCTCGGGCCGCCTTGGGCGCGGGAGCAGTTCGGGGCGCCCCGTGTGTCGGGTGAGGGGTGCAGGTGCTGCAGGGCGTGGTCGGCGGCGCACGACGTGTGGCAGGACGCGGGTCGACTTTCAGGAAGCTGATCCCTCAGGGTTTTGACGCTTCTGGGTCCTTCAGGCCTCTCAGACCGTTTATGGCAACCACGCTGCCCACTCGGTCTGTGGCCTGGTCCACACATTGTGCTCCTCCTCTTCGGCCTGTTTCGTCACGGTGAAGGCCCCATCAGTTGGTAAGCTGGCAGCCAGGAGTTTTTATCATCAGGAAGCAGAACATCTGGGTCCTTCAGGGCCGCCGCCTTCGTGACAACGGCTGGGCGCGGCTGGAAAAGGTGGCCTGGACTGGCTACAGGAGCGGTCCAGCGACCGCTTGGAGTGGGTTCTGGTCGAGGGCGGGGCTGCGGGAGCGGCTTGTTTCAGAGGGCACCCCGCCTCTCAGGAGCCCTTCCGCCGCCCAAGGGGCCTTCTCAGAGGCCGCCTTGTATCAGGGGAGGATCCTTCCGGATAGGCCCTTCTAAACGGCTCCCGGACACGATGGTGCGGATGATGATGATGATGATGATGATGATGATGATGATGATGATGATGATGATGATGATGATGATGATGATGATGATGATGATGATGATGATGATGATGATGATGATGATGATGATGATGATGATGATGATGATGATGATGATGATGATGATGATGATGATGATGATGATGATGATGATGATGATGATGATGATGATGATGATGATGATGATGATGATGATGATGATGATGATGATGATGATGATGATGATGATGATGATGATGATGATGATGATGATGATGATGATGATGATGCTGCTGCTGCTGCTGCATGCTGCTGCTGCTGCTGATGATGATGATGATGATGATTGATGATGATGATGACGATGATGATGATGTGATTTGATGATGCTGATGATGGTGTGATGATGATTTTGCTGCATGCTTGATGCTGATGATGCTGAGTGATGCTGATGATGTGATGGATGATGCTGTGATGAGTGATGTGATGATGATGATGATGATGATGATGATGATGATGATGTGATGCTGATGCTGGCGATGATGTGATGCTGAAGATGATGATGCTGCTGATGATGTTGGTGATGATGATGATGATGATGATGGAGATGATGATGATGATGATGATGATGATGATGATGATGATGATGATGATGAGGAGGAGGAGGAGGAGGAGGAGGAGGAGGAGGAGGAGGAGGAGGATGAGAAGGAGAAGGAGGAGGAGGAGAAGGAGGAAGAGGAGGTGATGAGGAGTAGGAGGAGAATGAGGAGAATGACGGAGTGGAGGAGGAGGAGGGAGGAGGAGGAGCAGGTGGAGGAGGAGGAGGGGAGGATGAGGAGGTGGCGCGAGGAGGAGGAGGAGGAGGAGGAGGCGTCGGGGTGGGAGGAGGAGAGGTGGAGGAGGAGGAGAAGAAGGAGGAGGAGGAAGAGGAGGATGAGGAGGAGGAAGAGGAGGGGGAGGAGGAGGCGGAGGAGGAGGAGGAGGAGGAGGAGGAGGAGGAGGAGGAGGAGGTTGAGGAGGAGGAGGAGGAGGAGAACGGGGGAGGGAGGATGACGAAGGGATCAGGGAGAAGCGAGCGCACAGCGGAGAGGCAGCCAACATCCAGAGGTCGAGGGACGCGGCCAAGTACCGCCAACCACTTGCGATCCTCGGCCCCTCCGAGGCAAGGGGGGTTCCCAATTCCCCGGCCTGCAGCTGCTCCCACTGGATCGCGGAAGACGCCGAAAGGCGTGAATAGTCAAAGTGCACCAACGACTTCAGACTGAGGCCTGCACGAGAAGCGAAGGCCTGTGGACGGCGCTGGTGCCGCCGCAGAGGACAGGGCGACGATCAGCAGCCGCATGGACGGATGGAGGAGAGGAAGGGGGATGGATGGGGAAGGTCTGATGTATGTCTGCTTCTTCGTTTTGTTCTCTGTCTTGCTCTTTTGCTTTCGCGGCTGCGCGCCGTTGCAGGCCGCATCCTTGGTTTGTACAGTCGGACGGAGGTATCCGATCGAGGTCTGTTCGGGGAGGGTATCCTAGTGTTCTGCGTGTTTGTCGGATGTTCTTGTTCATCCTGGGGAGGGTGCCCTTGGATGTTTTGTTTGTTTTGGCTGACGGAGGGTCTCATGTTCTTGAGGGACGTTCTTCTGGCCTAGGTCTGACTGTACTCGTGCAGCACTGCAGCATGCCTGGCCAAAGCAGGTGCAACGAGCACTTGAAAAGGAGGATGAGGAGGATGAGGAGGAGGAGGATGAGGAGGAGGTGGAAGCAACGCATGCCGCAAACCTTGGTTGCGGGCGAGGTGCCAACGCTCTACTGGTCGAAGCACTTCGGGGTGCTGGGGTCGCTGCGGCCGAGACTGGCGCGCCACCTCTCCCACAATGCCGACGACGAAGAGGTTTGAAGATGCGTTTCGTCATTCTCCGCCTCAGGAGGACTGGTGGTCCGTGTGGGGCCTGGGAGACCGTAAGTCGATCCGGGGTGAACAACTTGCCAGGGTGGATCCCACCAGGGGGGGTCCGGGGACCGATTTTGGCCATGAGGGGTCCGGGGACAAGGCGACGCCGGCGACGCTGCAGATTACGATGCCGAAGGCCAATGCCGGGCTGATGATGATGATGATGATGCTGCTGCTGATGATGATGATGATGATGATGATGATGATGATGATGATGATGATGATGATGATGATGATGATGATGATAGTGGTGGTCACGACGACGGGTGCAGTAGCGACGGCAGGAGTAAGAGCAGGCACCAGACACATGTAGCGTGTGCAGGTGTACAGATCTCGCAACTGCTGGGCTGGCTTGCCTGGTCAGGCATTGAAGACAGCGACTGCCTTGGGTCTGTCTTCGACGAGGTTCTCTTCCGCTGGTACGCCTCGACTCTATGAGCATAGCCTGCGTTCGGAAACAAATCCCTCCCGCCGGGGATCACATTGGCCTTGCAAGCGCTACATGGTCGGGAGGAGAGATACGAGCTGGGATGGCCTCTTTCATCGCCTGATCGCTTTGCTCGTCCTCGCTGTCGACTTTCCAAGTTTGCTTGTGCATCTGAGGTCTTCTTCTCAGTAGCTGTGTCTATTTCCCCCCCTTGCCGCCGTCGCCATTGTCGTCACCCGTCGTACTCGTCGTCCTCGTCGGCCTTGCCACCCAGAGAAGTCTTGGTGCAGGTCTGGCGTCTGCGCGGCAATGGCCCATGGGTGTGCAGGGAGCCCCGCTGACGGTGCACCACCGGCCAAGCCGAGCGGCATCGACGTAGCACGTGCTGTCCGCGAGGAGCTGCTGACGCCCGAGTTCTTCGCGAAGCACTGGGAGCGCGCGCCGCTGCACTGGAGCGCCCGAGAGCGCGGCCGGGGTGCCAACAGGCTGCCAGAGGCCATCTCCGTCGATGATATCGTCGCCCTCATTAGGATCGGCGGCGAGCGAGGGGGGGAAGTGAGAAGGCGAAGGCCTTCTCAGAAGGCGGCGGGACTTCTCAGAAGCCCTCGCGCCTTCTGAGAGATTTATTTGTTTTCGGGGAAGGCTCAGGAAGCTTCTCAGAAGGCCGGGGGACTTCCGAACCTTCTGAGAAGGCCTTCTCCTTCTCATTTCCCCCCCTCGCTCGCCGCCCATAGGAGGTCTGGCCCGAACCTGAAGATGTTCAGACAGGGTGACCCGTACGACTCGGACAGCTTCCCAGAGGCCTACCTCGATGGAGCCTCCATGATAGTCAACCAGGCCGACCGGTTCAACACCACCCTGTACGAGATGTCCCGCTCGCTTGCGGAGAGCCACTTCATGCACGTGTTCAGCGTGGTCTACCTCACGCCGCCTGGGTCGCAGGCTGTGAGGCTCCACAACGACGACCAGGACGTGTTTCTGCTGCAGGTCCTCGGCAAGAAGCGCTGGACCGTCCGGGAGGCTCCCAAGATGCTCCCCTACACGGAGGAGATGCTCGGCAAAGACGCCCCGGTGCCCGAGGTCCGGGGGAGGGGAACGCAGCTGCAGAGCTCTCCACCACCAGGCCTCCGCGATGCCAGACTTTCGTGCCCAAACCTTGGCTCCAGGCCGTTCGAGCGGGGCCGGAGTGCGCAGATGGGGTCGGAGGGTCGCGCCGCGCCGCATCGCAGATGCATCGGTGATGCAGCGCGATCCAGAGCCAAGTTCTCCCCGTCCCGATGTCGCTGATGCATCCCCGATGCACCTGCGATGCGGTGCGACCCTCCGGCCCCATCTGCTCTGGCCCTCCTCTTGGGGTGTCTCCGTTGGTGGATGTCCGCTTCCAGCCAAGCTGGCATGCCGTATCCACCAAGGTCTGGGCACGAGAGTGGCCTCTGGAGGCTTCGGGCTTGGTGGTGGCGGGCGCATTTTTTTCTTCAGAGGAGCTGATCGGGCCCGCCATCATGGCGTTCACGATGGAGGCCTTCAGCAGCCACGGGGGGGCGTTTTGGCATTGGTCCTGCTGCTCCCCCCATTTGTTCTGTATGGTTTTGCGCTTCTCTCCGCGCAGCCGTGCCAATCGATACAGAAGGAGAATCCGCACACCGAACAGACCATCGAGGCGACCTCCGGGCGCCACCGAGTACCTCCAGGTGCCCCGTGCGCCTCTGAGGACACCCTCGAAGCAGACGCCACAAGGAATGTGAGTGAAGCCAAGTAATGCTACCTCCCAGATCGCCGACGACCTGTGTTGTTCAACCGGCGTATTTCCTCGATCTCGGCCTCTGGGGCAGGGACCATCAAACCTGGATCCGGGACGCAAAGCTACACCCCACGGGGAGAGGTCGGGAGCTCTGGGGCCGCGGATTGAACAATCAAGTCGGAGGACGTCATGGCTGCAGGACCCCCCCCTCAACCCCCTCAACCCGTCTCCGGCTCCAGGCTGCCTGACCGCATCAGTGGCCCACCATGTCCCAAAGCCGCTTTTAGATCAGTTTTGTGCCGCCCTGGACAAGTGGGTAGCCCGTGGGGAGCGAAGGTAATCGCGCCTCGAACTTCCTTGCCTGGGCCAGAGAGCTGTCACCTTCTCCAGGGAGCGGTAGCAAGTCGATGATTGCGACTCGCACCTCGCGCAGCGCGAAGCTCGAAGCTGGGGGTCCCAGGGCCAGCCTGGGGCCACGTTTGGGCAGCATCCGGGATACTTCTGGGCAGCTATTAGTCAGTTTCTGGCCTGCTCTGGCTAACATGCGGCGCCCACAAGAGCCCCCCCCCCCACCTGCCCGTCCTCCCCCTCCTCTTTCTCCCCCTCCCCCTCCTCCCCCCCTCCTCCCCGACGGTTGTGGGCCTTACCATTGCCTCCACAGTCTTTCGGCTTGCGCCCCCGCTGTCTCGAGTCCCCCTTCTCCCCCCCTCCCCCTCCCCATCCCCATCCTCCTCCTCCTACTCCTCCTCCTCCTCCTACTCCTCCTCCTCCTTCTCCTCCTTCTCCTCCTCCTCCTCCTCCTTCTCCTCCTCCTCTTCCTTCTCCTCACCCCGTTGCTGCTGCTGCTGCTGCTGCTGCTGCTGCTGCTGCTGCTGCTGCTGCTCACGGCGGACTCTCACCCCGCTGCCCCTCCTCCTGCTCCTGCTTCTCCAGCTTTCCCTCTCCTCCCCCTCCTCCTCCCGTTTCCCTCCTGCTGGGGTTAGTTGGCTGCGTCGCGGCACCAGAGAAACCCACGACGTCCTAACCTGTGCACGCCCTCAGGCGGCCCAAAACTGCTCTCAAAATTATTCACTGCGTGGAGCTCCCCATATGTGCATCTACTCGCATGGACCTGTCCGCCGTGAATGTCTAGGCGCAAGAGCTTTCGAATATTAACAGGCTTCAGTTGTGACGGTCTGGACATCAATCTAACTGCGAATGAATTGGAGTGTGAATGAGCCTCAGTAGTACGAGCGCGTCTCTGTGCATGAGCCTGGGGCCTCCTGGGGCCTCCTGAAACCTACTGGGGCTTCCTGGGGTCTCCAGGAGGGGCTTCCTGGGGTCTCCAGGAGCCTCTTGGGACCTCCTGGGACCTCCTAGGAAGGTTTCGTGCCCCAGGAGAGGCGCAATCTATAGCAACAGACGTACATAAAACATTGCGGATTAGAGCCACAGGAGAAGGGCAATCTATAGGAACACGCGTAAAACACCAAGGACTCGTGCCCCAGGAGAGGCCCAATATATAGGAACATGAGTAAAACATTTAGGATTGTGTACACAGAGAAGGACCATCTATAGAAACATACGTAGAACATCAAAGAATCGTGCTCCAGGTGAGGCCCAATCGATAGGAGCATACGTAAAACACATGGGATTGGAGCCACTCCTGTTGCCTTCTGAGGCCTCCTGCTCCTGGGGCCTCTCGGGGCCTCCTGTTGCCTTCCGAGGCCTCCTGGCGCTTCCTGTTGCCTCCTGGGGCCTCCTGTGGTTTCCTGAGGCCTTCTGGAGCTTCCTGGGGCCTCCTGGAGCCTCTTGGGACATCCTGTGGCCTCTTGAGTCTTTCTGTGGCCTCCTGATGCCTCCTGGTACCTCATGTGGTCTCCTGGGGCCTCCTGGAGTCTGGCCCACCTGGGGGGTGAAAATTAGCGCCTCGCTCGAGACATCCTCCAAATCTGCTCCGAAAGCGAAGGATTTTGGGCCCAGAAACAAGCAAACCGCCTGAGACATCCCCACAAAATGGCCGCGAACGAGCCCGTGCAACCACCCCTGGCGGCTCCCCTTAGGGCCACGAGCCTGGCCACCAAAACAAGCAAACCGATCGAGACATCCTCAAAGTCTGGCCCACCTGGGGGGTGAAAATGAGCGCCTCGCTCGAGACATCCTCCAAATCTGCTCCGAAAGCGAAGGATGTTGGCAAGACAAACAGGCAAACCGCCTGAGACATCCCCACAAAACGGCCGCGAACGGGACCGTGCAACACCCCTCGGCGGCTCCCCTTAGGGCCACGAGCCTGGCCACCAAAACAAGCAAACCGATCGAGACATCCTCAAAATCTGGCCCACCTGGGGGGTGAAAATGAGCGCCTCGCTCGAGACATCCTCCAAATCTGCTCCGAAAGCGAAGGATGTTGGCAAGACAAACAGGCAAACCGCCTGAGACATCCCCACAAAACGGCCGCGAACGGGACCGTGCAACACCCCTCGGCGGCTCCCCTTAGGGCCACGAGCCTGGCCACCAAAACAAGCAAACCGATCGAGACATCCTCAAAATCTGGCCCACCTGGGGGGTGAAAATGAGCGCCTCGCTCGAGACATCCTCCAAATCTGCTCCGAAAGCGAAGGATGTTGGCAAGACAAACAGGCAAACCGCCTGAGACATCCCCACAAAACGGCCGCGAACGGGACCGTGCAACACCCTCGGCGGCTCCCCTTAGGGCCACGAGCCTGGCCACCAAAACAAGCAAACCGATCGAGACATCCTCAAAATCTGGCCCACCTGGGGGGTGAAAATGAGCGCCTCGCTCGAGACATCCTCCAAATCTGCTCCGAAAGCGAAGGATGTTGGCAAGACAAACAGGCAAACCGCCTGAGACATCCCCACAAAACGGCCGCGAACGGGACCGTGCAACACCCCTCGGCGGCTCCCCTTAGGGGTGCTGAAACCAGCGCCCCGCCTGAGACATCCTCGCAATCTGCTGTTTATCGAATAAGTCAGACAATGAGAAGGTCTGAGTATGAGTAATTCTGAGTATGAGTAAGTCTGTGTATGAGGAACTCTGAGTAAAAGGAGGAGGAGAAGGAGGAAGTCTGAGTATGAGTAAGTCTGAGTATGAGTAGGTCTGGGTATGAGTAGGTCTGAGTATGAGTAAGTTAATGTGATCAGGTCTGAGTATGAGTGAGTCTGTGTATGAGTAAGTCTGTGTATGAGTAAGTCTGTGTATGAGTGAATCTGAGTATGAGTGAGTCTAAGTAGGAGGAGACGAGAAGAGGGGAGGAGGAGAAGAAGAAGGAGTAGGAGGCGTCCAAGTAATAACAAGAACCCCATCTTAGGATATGGGGAACAACAATTTGGACGGGTGCTGGGCCACTTTGGTGTCGTTCGGATATGTTTTGGGCAACTTTTGAAAGAAGGTCGTGGCTTGCTCACGGGCAACGTTTGCTGGTTTTCTTGCCAAGATTCGAGCGCCACTCGTGCACCCTTCCGCCTTCCTCTTCCCCCCCTTTCCTCTGTCGGCCACCCCTTCGTCCCCACCTCATGGCTGCCCCCCCCGTGAGACTTCGTGCAGTGAGGTTCCCCATGGGTGATGCCCATACGTTCCCTGTGGGCCCCTGGGAGCCCGGCCGCGGCCGCCGCGCCACCCTCCAGCCGCTCCCGCTAACCCGACTTCGCCTCGCTGCTGCGCGCGCGGCAGCGACGCCAACTAAGTTCCCTTGCCGACTTTACCGGCACGTGTGCCTATTGACAGCCCTCCGACGTGATGTTTTTGTCTGAACGCGGGCCCCTGGAGCTCTCGACCCATGCCCATTTGTTCGTCGCGTTCCAGATTGTTGTCTGACGGGCCCAGCGGCCAGAAACAGTGTCCTAGACCCTGGACGCCGAAAGTTGAGACAAACCTCTGACCAAACCTCCGACGCGATTTTTCTAGTCGCTGGAAGTATGGGTCCTCCCTCTTCCGAAACACGAGTCCCCTGATCTTTCCAGGGGCGCGTTCTAGCTAGAGTTTCCGTGCGGAACCAGGCCTTGGCTACGAGAGCGTCGTCGGTAGAGCGAACTTCGATATTCGATCCATGATCCTTTGATTATCCGAAGATTTCTGCCCGACAGTACCAGAGAGTCCTACAACATCCTGCACTTGAGGTCCGTGGTGGCCGCAGAGGGCCTCGCGGGCCCCCCCTGGAGATTTCCCGCAGTTCACACGATTGCCCAAACATACCAACGCATTGATTCTCGATACTCCTCCTCCGTCCTCGTCCTCGTCCTCCCCGCACCCACGACGTTGTGTTTGTGTCGCCATGTGGATACCTGATAGTCCCGACCCCCCCCGAGGACTGCTTTTTCATCCTGAGTCGCTTTATGACGGTCCCCGAGGGCCCCCGGAGGCTGAAAGTTGTCGAACATTTCCTTCGTAATACTTTCACGACGCGAGGAGGTCTCGGTTGTCGTCGCCGTCAGCACAGCAGAGTTGCCCCGAGAAGCAGTGAGTGTCTTGCTGAAGCGAGGATTCAACAACTCGTCCGCGCAAGAATGCGATTGCATGTTTTTTCGACCATCACTATATGAGCCTTGCCTGTGAGTTTCCAGGTGCGCCCCGTCGCTTTGCAACATACCCTCTTGAAAGGGCGCACCTGGCGTGTCAGCTGACCCTCTCGTTCGTCCGCCCCCCTCTCGGCGAGCGCGGTCGTCGTCGTGGTGGTGGTGGTGGTGGTCGCTGTCTTCGTCGTCGTAGTCGTCGTGGTCATGGTGGTGGTGGTCGTCGTCGTTATCGCCGTTGTTGTCGTGGTGGTCGTCGTGGTCGTCGTGATCGTCGTCGTCGCCGTCGTGGTCGTCGTCGTGGTCGTGGTCGTCGTCGTAGTCGTCGTGGTGGTGGTGGTGGTCGTCGTCGTTATTGTCATCGTCGTCACTGTCTTCGTCGTTGTCGTGGTTGTAGTCGTCGTCGTCGTCGTCATTGTCGTCGTCGTCGTCGTCGTCGTCGTCGTCGTCGTCGTCGTCGTCGTCGTCGTCGACGCCTGAGAGGCCGGAGACATCCTGTACATACCCCGCGGGTGCCTGCACGAGGCCGCCACGGGCGAGGCTGAGCCATCGCTGCACGTCACGGTCACGGTCCCCACCAGCGACTATTGCTGGGGCGCCTCGGGGGGACGGGGAGGGTCGCGGAGGGGGTTATTAGCGAACCGCGAGGTTCGAAAGCCGATATGAAGAAGCTAACCACGGATACTCTGCAGGCGGCGGTTTGTATTGGAAGAAAAAGAACTGGTGGGTCGCGGGTGGGTCGCGGGGTGGGTCGTGGGGCGGGTCGCGGGAGGAACGCGGGCGACGACAATAACTGAACGATAAGCCGCACCGGATTACCCCTTTTGGGTCCTCTCCCAGGCTTGGGGAAAGGGGGGATAGGGAAAGGGGAGGGCTGCGAAGTCTGCTGCGCGCAGCTGGTGTCGGCCCCGCCGCCGTCCCAGCGCCGACAGGCGCTGCGAGGACCAGCTCCGTGAGCCGATTCGCTAACCCCCCCCCCTTGGCTATCTGCCCTCGTTCGTCCGACCCTGGACGTCTGACGGATTGTTCGTTCCAGCCCGGCGCAGCATCCTGGCCTCAGGACCGTCAAGGGGGAGTTGCTAGGTATGAGGAGGAGGAGGAGGAGGAGGAGGAGGAGGAGGAGGAGGAGGAGAAACTCGGAACTCGGAACTCGTTGGTCTGTGGAGAGACTCCATTTTGAGATCGTTGCCAAAGTGCGTGCAGCTCTCGAGGTCTGCATACCGAAAGGGCCTACCTCTGCGGGCGGAGCCCAACTAAGCATGTGTCGATCATCTCCCCTCCTCATCTCCCCTCCCCCCCTCCCCCTGCCTCCTTCGACCGCCTCATTCCTTCACCTCCTCCCTTCCTTCCTTACAGCCTCCTCTTCCTCACCCTCCTTATCACTCGTTCCTCCTCCCAGGAGGTCTCCACAGGTCTCCAGATGTCCCCAGAGGCCTCCAGAGGTCCCAGCAGGCCTCCGCAGGTCTCCAGAGGCCCAGGACGACCAGCGTTGCGGGATCCCCAAGCCAGTGAGGAAGTCTTGATCGAGCTGCCCGCGGCAAGTCCCACCATCGTGCCAGCCCAGCTCTCTGGGTGGCGACTGTTCGAAGGGGCACACCAGGCCGTCACGCGTGACACCTGGTGTCTCCAGGCTCGGGGGACCGTGGTGGTGATGATGATGATGATGAACAAGAAGATGAAGATGAAGATGAAGATGATGATGCTGATGGTGATGCTGATGGTGATGGTGACGGTGATGATGATGATAATCATGATGCTGGTGGAGACGATGAATGTGATGATGATGGTGGTGATGATGATGGTGGTGGTTATGATGATGATGATGATGATGATGACGATGATGATAATGATGGTGGTGGTGGTGATTGTGGTGGTGATGATGCTGCTGCTGATGATGATGCTGGTGGTGACGAGGAATGTGATGATGATGCTGATGATTATGCTGATTATGATGATGATGATGATTATGATGCTGCTGCTGCTGCTGATGATGATGATGATGAGGATGATGATGATGATGATGATGATGATGATGATGATGCTGATGCTGATGCTGATGCTGATGCTGATGCTGATGATGATGATGATGATGATGATGATGATGATGATGATGATGATGATGATGATGATGGTGTTGGTGATGATGAACATGATGGTGGTGAAGCTCGTTTGGGCCATCTTGGGGCTGTCTTGGCCTCCCGTGAGGCAGTCTTTGGGGATCCTCGGGGCCTTCTTGTCCCATCTTGGGGCCCTCTCACGCCGGCTGTTGTCTCTCTTGGGCCGTCTTGGGGGCCTCTTGGTCATATGGTGGGTATCCTGGGGGCCGTCGTGGGGCCGTCTGGGCGCCGTCTTCGGCCGCCGAAGAGCCTTTTAAGGCCGTCCTGGGTCCACGGGAGGTCCTCTTGGGCAGTTTTGGATGCCGCTTGGGCCACTCTTGGGTGTAGTCCTTTTGGGCCGTCTTGAGCTGACGGCAGCCCGAAGAGGCGAGACTGCGAACGACACACAAAAAAAAACCCAAGTGGAGTCAATAATTTTGGCTTTTTTGGACCCTGCTAGGGGTTCTCTTGTAGCCATGTTGGACCCTCTTGGAGGCATCTTGGGCCATCTTGGATCAATAGTCTTCCGCCTTAGGGCCATCTCGGGCCGTCTCAGAGGCATTTTGGCCCATCTTGGTGTCCTTGGTTGCCTGCACGGGCCGTCTTGGAAGCTTGGGACACATATACATGTTTTTCCTCACCATCCTGTGGTGTTGGGTCCTCGTTTTGAAGAGACAGTGCCCCGCGATACTCCTCTCCTTCCTCCTCCTTCTCCTCCTCCTCCTCCTCCTCCCCCTCCTCCTCCCCCTCCTCCTCCCCCTCCTCCCTCTTCCATCCCTGCCACTGGTCTTCGCGTGTCGTCATCATCAGCATCATCATCATCACCATCACCATCATCATCATCGTCATCATCAGCATTATCATCAGCACCATCAGCAGCACCAACATCATCAGCATCAGCATCGACATCAGCATCAGCATAACCACCATCATCATCACCATCAGCATCACCATCATCGTCATCATCATCACCACCATCATCATCATCATCACCATCGGCATCATCGTCATCATCATCATCATCATCATCACCACAACCATCATCATCAACATCACCACCATCAACATCAGCATCACCACCTTCACCACCAGCATCAACATCATCGTCGTCATCATCATCATCACCACCCTGATCATCATCATCATCATCATCAGCATCATCATCATCATCACCATCACCATCAGCATCATTATCATCACCATCATTATCACCATCATCATCATCATCAGCAGCATCAGCATCAGCATCAGCATCAGCATCAGCATCAGCATCAGCATCAGCATCATCACCATCATCCCCATCATCATCATCATCATCATCATCATCATCATCATCATCATCATCATCATCATCATCATCATCGTCATCGCTATCGTCGCCATCGCCTTCGGCACACTCCTCATACGTTTCGTAGCCCCACAGGGAGCTCCGTGGAAGGTCCCAGGGGCGCCACCCGCATGCGTCCGACCCACTCATTCCGGCACACCACTCACGAGGATCGTTGCCCCATCGAGAGCTCCACCGCAGGTCCTATGGGCGTCGACCGCATGCGTCCGACCCACTCATTCCGGCACACCCCTCACAGGATCGTGGCCCTAGAGGGAGCCCCGCCGAATTTCCTGAGGCTCCGCCCGCATGCTTCCGACCAGCCCTTATCGGCACACCCCTCACGAGGATCGTGGCCCTACAGGGAGCTCCGCCGAACGTCCCAGGGGCGCCGCCCGCATGTGTCCGACCCACCAGTTGCGGCACACCCCTCACAAGGACCGGGGCCCTGTAGGGAGCTCTGCCGAAGGTCCCAGGGACGCCGCCCGCATGCGTCCCACCAACCCGTGTCGGCCCACCCCTCACGAGGATCGTGACCCCATGGGGAGCTCCACGGAAGGTCCCAGAGGCGCCGCCCTGATGCGTCCCATCAACCCTTGTCGGCCCACCCCTCACGAGGACCGTGACCCCATGGGGAGCTCCACGGAAGGTCCCAGAGGCGCCGCCCTCATGCGTCCGACCCACCAGTTTCGGCACACCCTTCACGAGGATCGTGGCCCCATAGGGAGTTCCGCCGAAGGTTCATTTCGGCACAACCCTCACAAAGGTCGTGGCCCCATGAGGAGCTCCACCGAAGGTTCCAGGAACGCCGCACACATGCGTCCGACCCACCCATGTCGGCACACCCCTCACGAGGATCATGACCCCATGGGGAGCTTCACCGAAGGTCCCAGAGGCGCCGCCCGCATGCGTCCGACCCACCAGCTTCGGCACACTTCTCACGAGAATCGTTGCCCCATCAGGAGCTCCAACGAAGGTCCTAGGGGCGCCGCCCGCACGCGCCCGACCACCGCATTTCGGCGCACCCCTTACGGCGCGGGACGGGGGGTTCAAGCATTAGCTGCCATGAGGGAAGTGCACCATCCTCGAGCGGGCATGTGTGGAATGGGGCATCAGGTGTTAGCTGCCATGCTGGAAGTGCACCATTCTCGAGCGGGCACGCGTGGAATGAGGGATCAGGCATTAGCTGCCATGCGGGAAGTGCACCATCCTCGAGCGGGCACGCGTGGAATGGGGGATCAGGCATTGGCTGCCATGATGGAAGTGTGCAATGTTTGAGCGGGCGCGCATGCTATGAGGGTTCAGGCATTAGCTGCCATGCGGGAAGTGCGCCATCCTCGAGCGGGCACGCGTGGAAGGGGGGATCAGGCGTCGTCCGCATGCGCACGTGAAAACACGTTCCAAGTGCGCACGCGCCAGCCGCATGTTGGATATCTCCACAGGGGGGGCCTGTACGCGTGAAAAGTCGTGCCACATGCGCACGCGCCAGATGCATGTTGGATATCCCCTGCGAACACGCACCTTCCCGTGTGAAGAATCCGCCGACCACATGTTGGATACCCCGTTCTGCGCACCTTTCCTTATGTGTAAGAATCCGCCGACCACATCTTGGATATACCCCTGCGCGCATGCGCACGTGAAAACACGTCCCACATGCGCACGCGCCAGCTGCATGTTGGATATCCCCACAAGGGGGCCTGTACGCGTGAAAAGACGTGGCACATGCGCACGCGCCAGATGCATGTTGGATCGTCCCTTCGCGCACGTACCTTTACGTGCGAAGAGTTCGCCGACCACATGTTCGATACCTCCCTCCGCGCCTGCACTCGTGACGACACATCCCAAATGCGCGCGCGCCAGAACCATGCTGTATACCCCCCTCTGCGCACGTATTTGTACGCGTGAAGAATCCGCCCGACGACGTGTTAGATATCCCCATCCCTCGGGGCCTGGACACGTGAAAAGACGTCTGTTGGATACGCCTCTCTCCGCTCCAGTATTATTCGGTGTGGACAATCCACTGGCCACGTGCTGGATATTATTCTTATGTGGGCCTGCATGCGTGAAAAAGACCTGCCACACGCGCATGCGCCAGACACGTGCTGTATACCTCCCTCCGCGTAAATACTTTTACGTGTGAAGACTCCGCCTGGCCGCATTTTGGATATCCGTCTGCGGGCCTGCGCGCGTGCGCGCGCGTGAAAAGACGTGCCAAACGCGCACGCGCCAGACGCATGTTGGACACCCCGTTCCTCCACGCACGCGCCTTTACGTGCTAAGAGCCCGCCGCTCCGATATTGGATGTCCCACTGTAGGTCTCTCCGCGCACGTATCTCTACGTGTGACTTCCTTCTTGAAGCCTGGACACGTGAAAATACATACCAAGCGCATGCGTGCCGAGACACATGTTGGACCCCCTCTCCGCGCACGTGTTTTACTGTCAACCCGCATTGCAAGGATGCGCTTTCCAAGGCTACCCTTGCCTCCTTGCCCCTTCGGCCCATCCTCAGCGACTTTCGCTGGTCGACCTCGTTTGAAAGACGTTAACATGGCCCTTCAAGGCCCTTGGATTCTTACCGCGCATCCGTATTATACGGGTTGACTGTAGGTACTCAATTCCGACGCCCACACCTGAACTTAGGCCAAACGGCCCGCCCACTAAAAGAGAACCCTGGGCCAGAGGCCTTACCTAGAAAAAGGTTGAGCAACATATGTCCTCGAGCATCGATCCTCGATGATCCCCCTCTCTATTCTTCCTCTTCCCTCTCTCGTGCCTTCTGCATCTTCCTTCCCTCCCTCTGTAACCGCGACCCCGGCACCCATCCCACTTCGGGATGTGTGACCACCGGGGCCATGCGTGCAAGAAGGGAACCAGTGACCAACGCTAGCGATCCAACCAGAGGCGGCCTCCGTCCCTCCCCAGACCTCCGACGTCGTGATCTTTTCGCAATGTGGCTCCTGAGAGGTCTGGACCCCTTCCTGGGCACGGGCTCTTCATCCCGAGACGTTCTTTCACAGCCCAGGAGGCCAAAACAGACTCCTACACCCCCCTGGAACAGGACTTCAACTTTTGCGGATCGTGTCGAAGAATCGTCCGGGGAACTTCTCTAGTGGTAGTGTTTCTTCCTTGGTCCGCTTCTGACGCTCCAGGGGCCCGAAAACGGCCCCCAAAGGCCAAACACAACGAAACACCGAAGGCGACGAAAGCAGGCAAATCGACGACTAAAATGACCTTATTCTTCCAGGGCAGTGTAGGGGCTGTCCAAAACATACCGCCGTGATTTGTGTTTCTTCACGGCGCGAGGAGGTCGGGGCTCCCTTTCTGAACAATTGTGCAATCTGAATGCTGTTCTCTTCTCTCCCCCGAAGACCCCGAGGTCGTAGCTTGCCTCAAGCTGTTGTCTAAATGAGTCGTGTTCTCGGCCAGCGCTGGCTCTCATTTTACGCGTGCTTTTCTACGCCGTGCTACGCCGTGCGCTACCATACATCGCGTATCATCTCGAGAACATTGCCCTGCCTGACATTCGACTGTGCGCATAGAGAGAAGACCGACGTCATGGTAATGGATGGGAGGGAGGGGTATGACGTCAGGTAAGATGCTGGCGCACCCAGTTTGTCCCTCCCCCTTTCCCTCCCCCCTTGTTCCCTCTCCTGCGGGGCGTGCCGCCATCCCCTTCAGGAGCGGATCGGGTCAGTCGGGGTGTTGGGGAGCCCGACGTGGCCCGCACAGGCAAGAGTGACGATTCAGGCGGCTTGTTTTCCAATCACGTATTTGTGCTGCGCGTGCTCTGTGTGAGGCTTGATTCTATGAGTGGCCCTTCGGACAACATGGGCTGCACACCCACACACACACACCTCCTTTGCCGCTCCCCCTGCTCCCCCTGCTCCTCCTTCTCCTCCTCCTCCTCCTCCTCCTCCTCCGCCTCCTTCTCCTCCTCCTCCTCCTCCTCCTCCTCCTCCTCCTCCTCCTCCTCCTCCTCCTCCTCCTCCTCCCCCCGTGGCGCTGATACGTTATTGCGGTTACCTCGTATCGATTAATGCTCCATTCCTGCAGCCCGCGGTGGGCAGTGACGAGTGGATCGGAAGGACGATCGTCGCGCCTTCCCTTTCGCCCCCTCTTCCCCACTCCATAAGATACGCACGGTAAGCAATCATTTGTTTTTCAAGCATTGGTGGGCTGGACTGGTGTGGTCCTCTTTGAGCATCCACCCCGCGGCACTGCGTGGCCCGCAGCGCTCTCTGGGCAGCTCTGCTCCCGTCAGGCGTGCACCTGGTGAGGCAGCTGGCGCGGCAGCTAGGCGGGGGCGAGCCAGGCCACGTCGCCGCCGCCGACGCAGCCGCCGCCCTTCATACCTCCTCCTTCCCCCCTCTCCTCCTCCTCCTCCTCCTCCTCCTCCTCCTCCTCCTCCTCCTCCTCCTCCTCCTCCTCCTCTTCCCCCTCCCTTCTCCATCCTTTTTCCTTATAAATATCTCTTCCCTGTCGCACCTCCGGTCGTGTCGGTAGGGTGGACTGGGCGTGTCTCTGGAGATTTCTCCACCATGCATGATCCTGGAGCTTGAAATTTGCAACAGTTTCCTTGATGGAGGGCGGGTGGTTTTCAAGTTGGTGCTCTCGCCTCAGCGCCACGCGCATTCGTTTAGAAAGTTACAGCAGCTTCGAGGATGGAGGGCGGGCCGTCTTCAAATTGTGGCTCTGGCTTCAGCGCAACGCACATTCGTCTTAAACGTTCGCGGCAGCTTCAAGGGTGGAGGGTGGGGCATTTTCAAAATGTGGCTTCTTCGCGCCGCGCACATTCGTGTCAGAAGTTCACAGCAGCTTCAAGGACGGAGTACGGGCCTTTTCCAACATGTGGCTCAAGTAGTAGCGCCGCGCACATTCGTCTTAAGCCTTTGCAGCAGTTTCAAGGACTCGTATGGTTTAAGTCCCAGGGATGGTGTGCGGGCATGGTTTAAGACCGTCAGGACGCAACAGTCACGTTTCTTCGAGTCGATCAGGTCACAAGTATGGTGTGCTGGCACGGTTCAGGATTGGCAGGACGCAACAGTCAAGTTTATTCGCAGGGTGAAATGCCAGGAGCGGTGCTTTCGCACGATTCAGGACTCCGAGTCGGCTGTTTTCTATTGGGGCACTTCCCGCAATACGCATAAGCATATGTAGGGACCTTTGCAGAGGAACCTTGGAAGGAAGGTTTGTTGCAACATCGCTGAAGCGTCTTGGGTTTGCACTGGTCCTCCTACCTTCTCCTTCTCTATTCCTCTTCCTCCTCCTCCTCCTCCTCCTCCTCCTCCCTCCTCGTCCTCCTCCCTTCCCCTCCTCATGCCTTCCCCTCGTCGTCCTTCTCCTCCTCCTCCTCCTCCTCCTCCTCCTCCTCCAGCCGCTGCCACCGCCCAGGACGATCCCGCCGCGGCCGACGGTACCTCCCCCAGGACACTCGCCAGAGGAGCAGCTTTCATGTCCGGCCTTGTCTCTTCTCGCGGGGCCCGCTAGGCCCATGGGAAAGGGGAGGCGCCACCGTGGGCCGTCGGCTTCTCGCCGTTGGCTGTCCTTATGTTGTCTCCAGCCATGTCAGCGTTGGAGGCGGTCCCCTCTCGTCCGAAGCTGAGCATGAGGTTCTCTGCGCGTGCAACCCGATGTATCTGACGGGCACGACGAGAGGCACATAGATATCGGAATACTTACGAAATGCGCATGCGATTTTGACACCAGGGACTTGCAGGAATCAGTCGGACGGCGAACATCCACTATTTATGCATCTACACCACTGGGAAGTATCTTTCGGATGGGGGAGGGCATCGACGAAATCTTGTGGCTGCAGCGTCTTCCCCCATCACCGCAAGATGCCCCGCTCGAGTCTACGGCGAGTGTTCACCCCACCAGCCTCCCTCGCGGGAAAATGCGGAGCCGTCCGTCTGAAGGCCGACCACTCAGACACGCTTTTTATGGTGCTGTACTTACCGTTTATCCGACGAGCAGGGCAGGCAGAGCGGAGTATCGCAACACGATTCAGCGTCTGGTGGCCTGGTCTCGTGAAGTACCTTTGCTCGGTGGGCATTCGGTGCACACCCTTCATCGGTGTCGATTTAAATGATAGAATGGGTTTCGCTTCCCACGGGGACGCGACGGACGGGGCTATGCAGCGCGACCTCCAGCACGCCTTCATGGACGTTGGCGACAGTGCGGTGGGCACCATGGCGGCGGAGGAGGAGGAGGGGCTCGCGGGCAGGATGTGGCACCAAATGCTTCTGGACTTAGACATGCCGGCTCTCAACACCTTCCACAATGCGGGGCCCACATATTTCGGCGCCCATGGTCACAGCAGCCGCATCGATTTCATCCACGCACCCTCGGCCTTGTGCAGCCGAGTTCGGGCTTGTAAGACTCTCATGGCGGCGGGATGGAGATTACAACCGATCAACACATTGGACGACAGAGACCACCGCCCCCTGATGGCATAACTGGAATATACTTTTGAGGCGCATACCCAACCGCGGCAAACGTGGGACTACGAAGATCATGGCCAGGGTGCGGGGGGACGAGGACTGCGCTTCTTTGCTGGAGGCGATCCGCCAACCTATCCTGGACATGCCTGAGGCGGAGTGGATCAGGCTCTGCTCACGCCCCTCCCTCCTGGTGGCGGCGGCGAAAGAGCACCTTCTCATGCCGACGGCCCAGCAGAAGGATAAGTCCAACTTGGAGCGCCAGCGCAGCGAGACGCTGGCTCACAGACGACGGCTACGAGAACGGCGCATCGGCAGGGAGTCTACCGACTACTTGGAATTTGAGTTGCAGCTTTCACGCCTGGCCTACCACGCACGAAGATTGTCGAGAGAAATTGCGATTCAGACCAGCGAGTTGCTCACGCAACAGATCAACGAGGCGTGGGCACGCCACGACCACTACCTGGTACAACGCCTGGCGAGGAGGCTCGCCCGAAAGGGCCGAGGCCCGCGACAGCGGCGCTACTTCACCGTGCGGGGCGAGAACTGCGAGCCGAGTGCAATCTCCCAATACATACAACGAGATGCCGGGGGCGGAGGCTTCGCAGTGCAGCCGTTCGACCTGCAAGGAGAACTACTCGAACGGTTCGACAGGGGGCATCTCGATGACGAACGGGACTGCTCAGACCAGATAAGGTACGACATCATACAGAACTGCGATCTGGAGCAGGCGGAACACGACATGGTGGGCATCGCCAGGGAACTTCGGAGGGCTCCGAAACGTCGGGCCACTCCAGTCTGGCCCATGCCATCGGAGCTCTGGCTTCTTCTCCTCGATCCCGGGCAATGGCAGAAGTTCCAGCGAGGAGGGATCGTTCCCATCCACCTACCAGGGCTTCCACGCAAGCTTCCTGGACACCGTGGCCAGCTTCCGCCGCTCTCGCTTTACCCCCTTCGTCTTCGATGTCTCGTCCTGCCTGGGCCTGGACAAACGGAGCGGACGCCTGGGCCCTGCGGGCCAAAGATGGATCCTTTTGTTTTACCCCATCGGAAAGAGCTGGAACGCGTATTTATGGCACCGAGGGACCAGGTCCCGAGAACGTCTTCCATAATACTGCCGCGGTTTCGCGAGACATCGTCGGCGTGAGGGCGCCATCGCAGTGCAGGCTTGCAGCTCCTGGAGATTACAGAGACAGGGGCTCTCCCATGACATTGTGAACGAGGGCGCAACAAACGCCTTCGCCAGCGTAAAAAGGAATGCCGTCCACGATTTGATTCACTCCCTCTATCACCCAGAGGGCGCCCACTTCCAGCACGAGCGCACCATCCAGGGGGCCCTTCAGGTGGAGTCTTTCGAGGGGCCGATCAGCCTTGGCCCAGCCGCGGGCGAGCTCGCGGGGCATCCGAATCCAGCCAGGGCCTTTCCGTAGTTCTACCAGAGGGGCATCGAGACGTTCCAGGCAGCTAGGGCGCATGCCAGTTCCAGGGGCCTCTCAGAGGTTTTGGAGATTAACGGGGGGGCCACGGGCGTGGGCGCCACTATCTACGCCGACGACATCGCGAAGTCGGTCGTCGTGGAGCCCTCCGAGTCTCTGGAGTCCCCACTGACCGTGGCCACACATTTCCTTTCAGCAGCCACCGCCAGCAGCGAGAGCCTCTCGAGCGCCCAATTGGAGTACGGGGTTCAACTGAACCCAGACAAACGCGCGTCTTTAGTCCGCGTCTTCGGCAAGCACAGCACAGCCCAGAGCGAGCTGATACACGGGGGCCATATGCCGTACAAGGGGGTGGTGGGCCGTCACATGCGTATCCCGGGGGGCTGGCTGACTACTACGGGCTCATTGGCGGTGGAGAAGTCTCGGCGACTCCAGGCGGGTCGGTCGGGACTGGGCCTGATTTCGAACTTCTTGGTTCACGGTGCATCCTGGGGGATGCAGCGCATGGCTATGCTGTCCTTCGTCCAAGGGGCCCTACTCTCGGGCTTGGAAGGCCGCATCCTGGATTCCTCTTTCCAACAGGCCGCAGACAGTATCATGCAGCGTGCGATGCGACGAGCATCGGGGCGATCTGGTCTCGTGCTGATGTCCGATGGAGAGTCGAGGCGCTGGCCATCCCCTCGTCTGTTTCAGCATTCGCGAATCCTCCCTATCGCAGAAGAGCTTCGCATCCGCCGCCTGAAGTGGAATCAGAAGTGGTGCCGGTGCCCCTCGGACCACCGACAAGTAAGGGCTTGCGTCCTCGGGGGCCGGGGCGATGTCGACTCCATCCTGAAGGGCTACACCTTGCATCCGAACGCGAGCCCCTGGGCCCGCCAGATTTTCCAGGACCTCCGCTTCCCTTTCGAGGGCTCCGAGGAATTCAGGGACTTGGTGTCAGACGATTTCCCGCTCCGGAAACTTTCCTATCCGGACGATTGCAAAGACTGGGCCTTTATCGATTTCACGATCTTGCGGGCCTCCTACTCCAGTAATGCTATCGCACCACCTGGCCATGCCGCCGAACCCCGAGGAGACGAGGTACAGGAGGACGACGTGGAGGAGAAGGATGGCAGGAAGGCCCACCAGTGCAAGCTGAGGGGCGAGGAGGGAAGGGCGCGTGGAGCACGCTTCGCGACGCCGAATGCACTACTCCTGCGCGCGGCGAGAACGCATGGGGTACGAAGCGAGGCCGCTCTTCTCACGGTGACGAACCACTGCTTTCTATGCCTTCAGGTTCTGAGTGCAAAGGAGAACGCGCAGAGGCACGTGATGAGGAGTTTCGCCGCACGGCGTTGCACGAGGGGTAGGAGCACGTGCCAACTTCACGAAGTGCGAGCTCCAGATCCGCTGGCATGCCCCGTTTGCAGTTTCCATTCTCAGGCGCTCCTCGCATTGCA